GCAGCTACACAGGTTTGAAATGAATACTCTTCTCCCACCTATCAACCTGGGACTCTGAGCTAGTAACATTCAATCTTAGACAAACCCGCAACATTTCATTCTAGCCTCAGTTGCCTCTCTGGTCTCTACTTCCTCAGCACAGAGCAGTCAGCATAAAGTGACCACTATGCTACAGTCTCAAAGGATTCTGGAACATAAGGGAGCTGTGGGATATAGGAAAGGCAACTATAAAAAACGATCAGAGAACTCTAGCCTTTCAAATGGTTACCAATGATAACAGCGAAATGCCATTCACTGAGAAAATCTAAGAGATGCCACATTTTCATCAAGAGAAGCATTATGGGACAGTTCAAGAATCCCTACCCACAGGGATGGTTTACACAAGTTTTACATTGCTGGTAGGAATGTAAAACGGTATTCTTCTGTGGAAAATAGTTTGGCAGTTCCTCAGCAAGTTAAACACAGAATTGTTTGACCCACCAACTCCACTCCTAGGCATCTACCCAAAGGAATAAAAAACAAGGACTCAGATATTTGCATATGAATGTTCATATCAGTTCTAATCACTATAGCTAAAAGGTAGAAACAATTTAAATGTTCATTATCTGTGACCCCTCCTTGGGTTTCCAAGATGGTATCTCTACAGAAGTAGATTGCCCAATGTTCCTTTCAAGGAGTGGCTGGTAGGTTTGAACTGCCAGCCTTCTGGTTAGTAGTCAAATGCTTTAGGCACTATGCTACCAGAGCTCCCATCTGATGAATAGATAGACAAAATGTGTTATCTACCCAAAGGAATAAAATGATGGAATAGTATTCAGCTATAAAAAGGACTTAAGTATTTAGACACGTCAGCAATATGCCGAAACAATATGCTAAATCAAAGAAGCCAGACACAACACGCATATTGTATGATTCAATTTAGACAAAATACCTGGAATAGGCAAATTCATAGAGACAGGAAGTAGTTAGTGGTGACCAGGGGCATGTGAGAGGGAGGAACGTGGAGTAACTGCTTAAGGGGTACAGGATTTCCACAGGGGCTGACGAGAAGTCCTGGTACTAGGCAGTGATGATGGTTGGACAACATTGTGAATATATTTGATGCCACTGGACTATACACTTTAAGATAGTTACAGTGGTAAATTTTACGTACTGTGTATGTTACACACATAATTCTTCCAAGGATCAGGAGGTTAAGTTCTCAAGATCACACTAACCTCCAATGCATACCTTCCCGGAATTCTCAAATCACGCCTAGCCAATTGGTTGCCGAGTGTTTCTCACTTATTCTATCCTAGCAACTCCCGCAGCAAATTTTCCTCTTCCCTCCCTCTCTCATCACTACTTGCTTCAGTCATTGCATCCTCCTTGTGGCTGTTTCCCTTTCCCTGGCCCAACCTCCTTAATATGCACACATGTCCCCCTCCGCCTGCCCAACTCCAAATCACCCTTCAAGGTCCTGTTCAGGCACTGCTCCTCTGCTGTCTTTTATTTCTCTTTTTCTAGGACCTAGCAGAAATGGGGTATTTCAGCAAATCACTGACAAATTTGTGACTATATTGATTGCCAGATATGGCAGGCTTTGATTAATTTCCCCTACCTTATCCTAAAGGAAATTAAATTAGTTTCATTTATTAAAGATTTTCATTATGCTGTAGCCATACTACGAGCTCTGGTGGCATGGTGCCTAAGGCATTTGCCTGCTAACTGAAGGCTGGAGCTTCAAACCCACCAGCCACTCCTCGGAAGGAAGATTGGGCAATCTACTTCTGTAGTGATACTGCCTTGGAAACCCAAGGAGGGGTCGCTGTGAGTCAGGTCCATTCTACAGCAGTGTGTTTGTTTTTTGTTTATAGCTCTACTACCTTCTACATCACCTTTAAAATCTTGCTTCTCAGATGGGGTACTGAACACAATGAAGGGTATGGCCAGAATGATTCAAAACCACAGGATAATCATCGCACATCATCCTGGAGTCCCACCATTATCAGAAGGTAAGTCATTAAAAGTCCTTTTTATATTAAGTATAAAAGTATTATGGAATGCAGTATAAGCGCGTAGTGAAACTTTAAGATGGAACCCAAGGTTTCTACAAAGTTTCGGCTTACTGTGGGTGCTATAACATACACTCACTTACTGGCCATTGGGGGTATTTGGTAGAAAAATGGTAGGGCAAAGTCTAAAGTTTCTAAACCTGACATTCAAGATCTTCCACAAAGTAGTACTCTTTGCTACATATTCTATATCCAAATACATATTCCAGCTACATATTCCTTATCCAAAAACCACTGCTGTTGGGTCTATTTCAACTAATAGCAACCTAAAGGACAGAGTAAATCTGCCTCATAGGGTCTCCAAGGCTGTAAATCTTTTTTTTTTTTTTTAATTGTGATTTGGGTGAAAATTTACAGAACAAATTCACTTTCCATACAGCAGTTCACATACACTTTGTCTCATGACTTGACTACAATTTACCCCCATGCAACAGCTCCCCTCCCACTTCTTCCCGATAGTTACCTCTTCCCTGTGTCCATCCCTCCATGCCCTCCTGCCCCCTGAGCTGTCTCCCTGTGCATAAACAGCCCTTCTTTCTCCCATGATTGTTCTCTCCAAGGAGGGTATCTACCTCAGGTAAATGTTCAACTCATATGCCTGTCTTTTGTTTAGCTGGAAGCCACAGGAGTGGGTTCAATTCCAGACCTGAAGGGCAGCTAGGGGCCATAGTCTCAGTGGTTCCACCAGGCTCTATCAGACCAGCAAACCTGGTCCCCACCACTTTTTTTTCCCAAATGATTTTGAGTTTTGTTCCACATTGTTCTCCCTCTCTATCCAGGATCTCCTACATAGATCCCACTCTGAGTGGTTGACAGTGGTAGCTGTGCACCATCTAGTTCTTCCGGTCTCATAGTCATATAGGCTGCAGATCGCATGGTGTACCAATCACTAGGACTAATTGTTTTCATGAATCTTTGGTTTTCTTCATTCTTCTTTGCTCTGGACGAGGAAAGACCCATCGTTGTATCCAGATGGCTGCTTGTAAGCTTTTAAGATCCCAGTTGCTACTCGCCAAAATAGGAGGTGGAACAATGTTTTGTGTAGTATGTTATGCCACTTGAGCTTGATGTCCCCTGCGATTATGGTCCCAAGCCCACAGGTTCAACTGCTCGGTCCCTCTGGGTAGCCGGCTGTGACCAAGAAGTGACTACAACCTTGCCCCTTGTCAGCTCTACTATACACCTGGGAATTCAGATCATACAAATAAACTTATAGGACCACTGTCTAAGGCTGTAAGTCTTTATGGGAGCAGACTGCCACATCTTTCTCCTGTGAAGCATGTAGTGAGTTTGAACCTCTGACCTTTCAGTTAGCAGCCAAGTGCTTTACCACTGTGCCACCAGGGCTCCTACATGTTCCATACTGTCAGAGCAGAATACTTCATGCCATTCAAAATGAGCCAGAAATTCCACCCTACCAGCCTGGTCTCTAACACTTTTCCAATCTGAATCCTCCATCTACCTAAAGCTCTTTCGTGACCAGCCCATAGACGTCTTTCTTTACTTTTAATTTTTAGCTCCTGTTATTGACACTATTTCTTGACACTTAATACATTTTACTTATTGTATAAAAAGCCCTGGTGGTGCAAGCATTTGGCTGCTAACCAAAAGATTAAAAGTTCAACCCCACCCAGTGGCTCTTCAGAAAGACTTGGTGATATGCTTCTTTTCCCACTGCAATATATATTTTTGGAATCCCTGAGCCATGGGAAACAGCAGGGTGAGTTAAACTGGAAAGAAACATTTTTGAGCACTTCACAGTTAGGTAGTACCAAGGGATGAGACTCTATTTGTGCTTATGGAAACTGGGGATGGCTTTAGAAGTCATAGCATTGAAGACCAGGCAGGAACTCGGTAAAATGGTGAGAAAAATGTAATGATACAAAAATACTCTGCATTCTAGTAACTAAAAGGCATTCACTACAGGTCTTAGAGGAAGGGAAAGGTGACAGTGGCCAGGACCAAGACAAGAAGGCCTTGGCTAAGAAGTGTTAATCCTAACCTATGTTGTTGGGCATCATGTTGTAGCCACTGTGTCAATCCATCTTGTTGAGGGCCTTAACCTATAGCAGTGGCAATGCACCAAACAAATAACTTCTGACACAAGCATGACAAGAGCAGATTTGTATTTTAAAACTTTTAAGCTACTAGCAGTGGGGACAACTTTGTGAATATACTACAAAACACTAAATTCTACACTTTAAAAGGGTGAATTTTATGACATGTGAATTAGATCTCAATTTAAAAAAGAAAAAGAAAAACCAGAAATGTGGTTGTGTGGGGCACGGATGGAGCAAGAGCGAGCTCTGGGAGTGAGTGGTGGGGATGTTCTCTGTCTTGAGTGTGGTTGTGATTATGCATGTGGAGACTTTTGCTAAAACCCTTCAAACTGTACATTTTAAATGGCTGTATTTCCCTGTGTTCATTGTGTTTAGAAATTGGTTTAGAAAAGAATAAGAGTGTGGAGGAGTGGTTGTTCAAACTATTTGGCCATGTCCTCAACTGGTAAAACATTATTTTATTTAACAGCCATCAAATATGCATATCGATTTCCTTACAAATCATATATGTATGCTATTGCTGTTGTTAGGTGCCACTACATTAGCTATGACTCACCGTGACCTTTCGTATCACAGAATGGAACGCTGCCATCAGGATAGCTGGTGTGTTTGAATCCATTGTTTTGACTACTATATAGATTATTAGTTAACAGCATCTCAAGGTCCACAGTTTGAAAACTCTATCACAGAGCAACTGTTCATTGGCTCAATACTAAGTTCCAATGTGATAAAATTATAGAATCACATTTCTGTTTAATGGTCCAAATGCAAAATTTCACATACTGTGTTTTGTCTATTAAATATGCACGATTTATAAAGAGTTATCAACTCTGCCCCTCCCCTCCCAAACAACAACAAATTAAATGAGCCGGAACTGAACACCTACTTGGCAAGCTGCTTCTCAGCGTCAGCACAAAGTTCGAGCAGCCCCATCAGAACAGCAGACACATCCATATAAGGCTCCCAGACGGTGAAGCCTCGTCCAATCAGATCAATAGCTGTTCTGCGGATAGTGCTGTGTGGAGGAAGTTTGGGGCTCGGGGGCTGTAGCAGAAGAAATGTCAATGCCTTGCCTAAAATTACAAAATAAGACACAGCAATAAAGTAAGGTTACTTTGGGATTGTTTTCTCTGAAAGGTATTTTCAAAAATATAAACGATTTTGGATTTTTTTTTTTTAACTGAAAAGAGTTTTGAACATCAAGATTACAAAAGAGCTCTAGTTTGTAGTTTGGTTAGCCACATACTTTCAAGAGAAAAGTGAGAAAAGTTAGGTTACAATATTTTATGCTATCTTCTAAAGAACATTAATTATATAATAATTATATATAAATTAGTATAGGTACCATCACCCATCTGTCAGTCTGTCCAACTCTGGTGACTTATATGTTGCTAGGATGTTGGAAGCTATGCTACTGGTGTTTCAATTACCACCAGGGTCTTCCATGGTAAGATCGGCTGCAGCAGAATGTTCAGTTTAAGACAGAGTGGGAAGAAAGGCCTGGTGATCTACCCGCCCCCCTGAAAAAAGTCAGTCACTCAAAGTGCTATAGATGACAGTGGTCTGATCCACAGCTCATCATGGACCAGGCAGCATTTTGCTTCACAGTGAACAGAGTCACCATGATTCAGGGAATGACTTGACAGCAGTTAACAACAAAATAAAAGCCTTTAGAACTTTCATGTGTGTTGATTCAGCAATCCTCTTTCTAGGAAACTAGCTCAAGGAAATAATTGAAATTTTAGAAGAAGACCTGTATGCAAAGATGTGTAGAGTAACATGGTTTATAATACAGAAAAAAGGTAATAATAATCATCATAACCTCAAAGTCCAATAAGAGTTGGTGAATGGTTAATATGGCACAACCAAAGGGGCAACAGTATGCAGTCTTAACACATTTGGCTTAAAGCAGAATCAAAAAACAAGCAAGACAAAATTAATTAAAACACACAGAACTCAAGCCTATATATAGAGGATGAGCAAGGCAGCCCTGGCCCCTTCCCTGACCAGGATCACTGAACGAGTACACTCAGCAAACACAGTCCCCATGGAGTGTGAGTGGTGTTAGGCAGGGAAGGTTCAGGGTGGGTGCTGGGGGATCCCACAGCATGATGCTTCACCTCATCCAGAGAAAGGAAGGGAAATGATACTCAAGCTGAGGTTGGAAGGAGTTGTAGGGTCAGCCACTGAAAGACAGGGTGACAGAGTAGCACTGAAGAAGGTCCAAAAAGATCACAGAACCAAGAGAAGCGGAAGAGCAGGTAGGCAGGATTCCGGTGAATTGTGTGGAGGAGTGTAGTGTTTATTTTTGGAGCCACAGGGAGAGAGGCAGGGAGTAAGGTAATCAGACACACTTTAGGAAGCTCACTGGCTGCAGTGTAAGAAATGTTGTGAAGTGGTGGTAAAGAGAAGTGACAGGAATTGTGCAAGCACTCTGTAAACTCCTGCTTCTTAATCTTTTCTCTGTCATGGAACACTTTAAGAAAGAATCTGTGAAAGCTGTGAGGAACTGTGTACATGTCCACAGACTGTAAATTCTGCAGAAAAATGTTGAGGCGCTGGGCAGGCAGCTCCTGTGGGAAGGTAGACCTGAGAAGGCCTCCACGACGCATATGTCACTCATACGTGGAAATCTGACTCTTATACTTAACCGTATTAATGTAACATGGAATGCTTTACATTTTGGTTTTGTTGTTGTTGTTGTTGTTATGTGCCTTCGAGTCGGCCCCGACTCATAGCGACCCCTCCTTGGGTTTCCGAGGCAGTATCACTACGGAAGTAGGATTGCCCAACCTTCCTTCCGAGGAGTG